CTTCAAGAATCTAGACCAAGAGCAGGCAGCCTACCTCCTGAGGCTCATTTGGAACATTCTTCAACCCTAAGCACCTGTAATGAAATCATTGAGAAGATTGGAAATAGGTTTCCAGGACTTAAGAGTAAAGGCGATAAGATTCAAAGGGTATTTGAAGATAATTTAATATTTCAGTGTTGGTTAATAACAATGCTTACTAACAACTTAACCGGTGAAATGGCTATTAACTTGGAAAATTGCTTTTGATAAATAAAATCGAAATGTCTATTGAGAAAGCACAGCTTTTAACATAAACAAACAAAATAAAGATAGATATGTATCATATTTTTTCCGATTATTGCAAAACGCCATTGCTACACAAATTTAAAAAGGGGCAAGGGACATATGTACCTATGATTATAAAATAATATGTTAGATATAAGTTATTTTATAATCAAACGTATGTAAAAAATTGGGCGACCTTGAGAAAAATATTCATAGCTTTTACAAACTCATATGGAAAATAGTTTTTGAGTTCAAGCATAAACCAATTCTGAATTAAAAAATGACTTGAAAACTAGTCTGTACCCCGTTGGCATTAATGATCTTAAACAAAGTGCTATATTTGGCCATTGTTTACTTCTATGACTATGGCAATATATGTAGCGATTTTGGTGATATGGAGGTGTTAAAAAATATTCAAACGCTTATCCTATTAGTTAGTTTCAGTCATGTTTCAATGATAAAACTATCGTGTCATGTAATATAATAGTCTTACTAAGAATATCGTAAAAGCGGAAACACATTAATGTATCGTGTTGTGCCGTTGTTGTTGACTATATGTACTAATTACATAAAGAGGAAAGATCTGATTGTTTATATTTTTCCATCGAATAGGCTTCTAAACAACTGGACCGATTAAAAAAATAAACTTCATATGCATATGACATTGGCTATAATTTACCTTTTCTGTAACTAATGAAAATAACATGTTTAGCCAATAATTTAAAATGTTACTGTTTTGGCTATAAAGTGTTAAAATTTGTTAAAAGTATTAGGTGGCATCGAATTCCATTATTTGCAATAGTATAAAAAACAATTCTGAAAGACCTCGGTCTTTCAGAATTATTTTTCATTTGTTGAGTTTTTAATCAAACTTAACAAACTCAATAAAAACAAAATTAAATTTTATGTTGGGCATTACCTTCTTATCCATACCCTTTTCCATTAAATAACAAATAGTAGTACACTTAACTATATTTACACAAGTTCCGGTGAAGTTTAGCGAACGTATATTTCAATTTCATTTCATTTTAAACCTATTTAAGAGCCGTCAGGTAAGAAGATTGGAACACTGTGAGATAAGCTGTTGTACTCATATTAACATTACTAAAAAAATATTTTCGCCACATCTATTCTAACAATATAATAAATGAGTAAAGATTTGTTTGAACGTTACCATCTTCTCTAAGGTCTCTTGTAGGATTATTGGTCGGATCAATGTAGAAAATAAACATATTATCTTAGTTCTGAATGTTACGGTACCTTCGTCGTTTCATATACTTCAAGTACGAAGATTTTAGCTACTTATCTTAGAATCTGAGCAACGTTTTCTAAATGTCTTTGATTAACACATTCACTGCGTTACGGGAAGTATTTAGTCGTAATTGAGTTCTGCTCTGTGCGGCAGCTAGTTGTCCTTGTTTTACACTCCGTGCGAGGGTTATTTCTTCAAGTATTCGTACAAGTAAAAAAGAGACACCTATATTGCCGGTGTCTTTGCTTGAAGTGTATAAAATTTACGAATAAAAATGTACGGGAATTATTTTTTCGTAACGCACAGAAAGGTAATTATTTTACAATAGTGCGATACGGGAACTATTTGGCCGTATCCTTAACCCCGTACCGCACTGAACCGGAGCCTCAGTTAGTCGTAGTGCTGTGCCCAGTTAATACGTTTTTACAGAACGCAATATTTTATTCCATGATTGAATCCATGACTAAGACATCTTTCACCGATCCAAATACCAGTGGACAAAAACAACGAATAATCCACACCTTGATTAAAGCAGATAAATTTAAAAAATGTCATATTTGCTACAAAGATTTGAGGAAAATGTTTAGCAGTCGTGAAACGAATAAGAAGGTTAAAAAAGTGCGTACGTTTTGTAAAGAATGTGTTTAGAATGTTACAATAAAGTGCATGATACTTAAGAAAAAAATCTTACTTTTGATTTCATAATGCCCAAAGTTCCTATTAATGTGGTAGCACCTGTATTTTTTTAAGTTACAATTTTTCTGTTGATTCTTGTATCAAATAAATAATTACGATATCTTTTGTTATGTAGAAAACTTTTTAAGATATTTTTTTTAGAAACGTTATATTTTTTATTCATAAATATTTTAAGCATTCCTACCACTATGCTTTTAGGCTTAAGTAAAAAATTATATTCATAATTGAATTAGATCTCAAATTATACTCAAAGTTCCTATTAGTCGTGATAATGCAGGTTGTTATGTAAAAAATATTAAAGTTTATATCATTTCAAGTTATGGAACCTGTACTGTTACGTTTTTAAGTTATTTTTTCTGTTGATTAAAGTATCGAGTAAAATAAATGATTGTGATAAATAAATCAGGGACATTTTTTTTATAATTTAGCTTTTTTAAGTACCTAAAATAAATAATAATATAAAATAAGAATTTACTGATTTTTTTAAGTTAACATTAACATAGTTAAATACTTATTATTGTTGTTAAAAATAGTTTTTGTTGAATATGCAAGACTTGAATAAACAAAAATAAATCTGAAACAAAAAAATATATTTTACTTATTACACCCCATCCCTAGCAATATGACTGTTGTATGCGCCACGGCAAGTATTTTCCCGTAAAATCAACCATTTCCAAAAATACCTGTAACTTTTAAGATATTACTTAGAACTCCGTGCGACTGCAGACCTGTATACACAAGGATGTAACCTATGTGTTGGTACATTAAAAAATATCAGCTGTGGACTTTCCATGTCTCTGTGGAGGTTTGAAGTCAGGACTACGTACGGGAAAATAGACGTCGTAACGCATATCAGGCATTCTTGATACGGGAAGTATGTGACTTGTACAGCACTGGAAGTAAGTTTTAATCTAGCGCAGCCGCATAGTATTATTTAGTACCAACGAAATCATACGAAAGGTAAAAAGAAAAACTTCAAATGTAGCGCATGATTTCTTCAAGGCCATTTTGATAGTTTTATTTCCTATAGCAGTGACGCTACGTCCACACCTAGTTAGTGACTACAAAGCACTTAAGTTTGAAAATTTTTTGCATACTTATATAAAAAATTATCTATGACATCATGTTTTTTATAGAATTACCTAACAACTTTAGCTTAGTTGTAGTGATTATTTTTCAGACAACTTAACTTACTAAAGAGTAAACAATAGAAGACTGACATTTTTAATGGCCAATAAATGTTTATTACTTTTTTACACAGAAACTATTGTACGGATTCTATCCTGGATCAGATTATAGGCTTTTTATACCATAGTTGCCTTGGGGTAAAATGCCATAAAGTTATTATGTAAATCACGAGGGCGAACAGCTAGTTTAACAAAAGCCTTTGCATTTTTTATTGGTCCACTATATACAAGGTTACATACTTGGTGTACATATAAAAAGATTTATTTCATCTGTTATCCTCGTCTACAAATTGTTTAATAATAATAATTTTTATAAAACTTGATAGATAAAAGTCGCCAGTTGAGCAAAATAACCAACAAGCTATCTATTTCGTTCTAGCAATAGGCAGTTCTATTATGAATGGCAGAAAGGGATAGTGTAAAGATAACACGCTGCCAAATGTATCTCTACCCTTAATGATAATACTACATTTTTGTCTGGGGATTTAAATCACTAGCTTCCGTTTTGTGTGTATTCAAACGCTGGCTGAGTGGCCCACTTGCCTATTATGTTCCCGATCCGGTAAATATAGAAAACGATATTTTAGTTTAGATGTTCTCTCCATAACATAAGAGCGTAGTGTCTAATATTAATTTATTATCAATAAAGTATCAATAAATTAGGATATACCTCGAAAACGTCACATAAAACGTTAAAAAACGAATTTTCTTCCTTTTTTCGCCAGTATATTTTCTGTGTTATTAATAAATAAGATTTACGACCGGTTTCTGAATTGAAAAAAGTATGTATAAAACCTTTACTGATTATTTTTAATAACTTTAAACTTAAGTTACGTGTTTCACTGGGCAAAAAGTCCTAGTTTTATCATACTGCGAAAAAAACAGAAACCTGTTTAAGTGCTATTAAAGTCTATGTATAGTTTGCGACGTATTTAACTTTAAATCCAACAATCAGAAAAAAATCAGGAACCGGATGTTAGTGTCTGAGTAAGTCTATGCTAGTATTAACACAATTATTGTAATATTAGTCAAAATTGATATCAATTATTGCAAGAGGCAAAGCAAACCTTTATCGTCTTGGAATAAATATTACTACCGTACCGTATTAACCTCGTATTAGCTTTCACTTTACCTAGTTTTTGTTTATAATTAATAAACCTTGTTTAATAACATTACTTTTGTTTATAAATAAATAATATAAATATAACCTCCGTGACCGAGTGACTCATACGCCGGTTGGTTGGTTTCAATCCATCTCTGATTTCCGGTCGGGTTAATATAGAAAATAGCCTTTTCTGTATCGTGTCTGACCGTTCTGGCATATAAACTGAATTGGCAACCTATTTTTGTATTAGTTTATTTTATTTTATTGTCATTATTATTATTGGTACGTCACAATATGTAAAATGTAACCCTAAAATGTATGCCTCATGTTTGTACCAAAGTAAATCGTTCATTCGGTCACGTAATTAGAATTCTGACCAATGTATGCTTTATTGTCTTATAGTTTATATATATTTTTATTTATTAAGGAACAAACAGTTACAACAAGCATTTATGGGAGAAAATAATGCAACTCCTTTTTTATATCTTATTTTCAGTATTTAATGAAGAATACACGATTAAGCGATGTGAACAAACGTTTGAAAGCACAGATCTGGAGCTCAGTAGTGACCATCGTGCTGGTCGAAGCCAAGAACCTGCCGCCCATGGACCTGGACACTCGGTCCAGTGACCCTTATTGTAAGTTTAGGTGAGTGGAACTTTAATTACTGGGTTTAATGTCTTTCGTTTTTCTATAATTATATTATGAGGAGGAAAGAGGTGTTTTTATTTGTATTTAATAAACTTAGAAGCTAGGTAGTTTTGAAAAAAAAAACTGTTTAGGAACTTATTACAATAAAATGGCAATTTCATACTTTAACCCCTAATATTTCATATCCTCTTTACATCCCCATACTGAAATAAACTCATACAGAGCCATTTTTGGCTGCTAAACTTTAGTAATTTTTTTCTACCCTAATTATAAACAAAAATTTTAAAATTTATCACAGTAATATTAGGGAGTTCAAACTGAAACGAAACGCAATTTTTATTGTCTATGGCCAAAGTCGTATGTCATTATAACCTCACTTCTTTCCGGTGCGTACGCAAAGTCGTTCTTAGTGAAATTTACTGCAAATTTATTAGTGAAAATTAAATAGAAAAAGTAAGAATATTGATATTCAAAAATATAAATAATGTTCTACAAAGCCTCTGTTTTTGATGCCTCTTACACTTTATTCAAAATATTTGTTCTTTATACTTCATTTTCATTATTTTCTACGGGAGCCATTTTTGGCTTCGTATGCATTATGATAAAGTAAATTTGAGCCTAAAATGGCTTCGCATGCATTCAGAGTTCTTTTTTTTAACGTTAACAACGAAAAATCTCTGCAAAAGTGCAAGAGCTACCTCTAAATTCAGTACGTTCAGACAAAATTGACCATTTTCCGATTCATCAAAGGACTCGTCAATTATGTCAGAATGATTGTTCTTTGCGTTCCCATATAAAATGTGAGAAATGTAATGTTTTTCTATGCTTGAATGAGAAAAGAAACTGTTTTAGAGAATTTCACCTTGTATGATGTTTATTTGTCGTGCATCGGAAGCCAAAAATGGCTTCTGTTTTTTTTTTCCAAAATAATAAACTTATTTTTCTTTTCACTTTATATTTTGTCTTATAAGCCATAATAAAGCACATTAAAACATAAAAATATTTTTTTTCTATTAAATTTAATAATTCATGCAATAGAGGGTTAAGTTAACTGTTATATTAAGTAATAATTAAGTTTATTAGACTTCGAACAGATAATCTTGCATTGAAGGCACCATTCCATCCGTTCTAAATAAAATGTATGTATGTCTATTATTTTTCACGTGAAAATACTGAACTGATTTGGATGAAATCTGGTATAAGGATAATTGGTTACCTAGATTAACATGTGCTGCTTTTTATCCTGATAAACGGTTCCTAAGGGATTAAAGTACGCGGATGTAACCGCTGGTGAAAAGGAAAATAGGTAATGATAATAAGTAATTATATAAAATCGACCAAAGATTAGATTTATATCCGCTTTTATAGGTATAACCCTGCATTCCTATTCTCAATGTAACAAAACCTTTATTACCTTTTGAAGTAGGTTTTATTCAATTGAACCTCTAATGTTATTACGGCGCTGTGTTCGACGAGGTAATTTCAAATACAGCAAAACTGGTCCTGTTAGTCTCAACATGGTATAATATTTAATTCTCCAAATTAGGTGTCAAAGATGTAACAGAATTTAATATATATTAATTTAGGACACAATATAGTTCACAACCAGATTGATTGATTGACTTTTATTTACAATATTTCATGTGTTTTATAAACTAGATTGTAAACCAAATCTTTATGGCCTTATCATGACACTTGTAAAGGTTGCATAATAGTAAATATATATATATTCGAAGATTTGCCATCAATAGTTGTATCATCATCAGTCCTTTTACGTCTCCACTGCAGGGCTCAGGCCTTCCTTATGGATGGTTAAGGAGGATAGGCCATGACCCTCCACGCTGCCCCGATGCGGATTGGGGGCTATTAACGACTGCAAATGCAGCCGGTACCAACGGCTTAACGTGCCTTCCGAAGCACGGAGTAGCTCGAGATAATAATTTTTGCTAACCTTGCGAAAGTTGCTTAACGACAACGATCGCCGGCCGCGGCGCTTATCCACTACGCCACCGAGTTGCTGTGTGTAGGTGTATAATTTTACATTATGCCGTCATCATTTAAAATTTTTACTGCCTACCCTTTTTTCTTTCATTTATTTCTTTCGTATCGACAAGCGTGAAATGAATTAGTCACCCTCTTATTCGCTTAATTAGCTTGTCACAAAGAATTATCTCTGTTAAAATACAATAACGACAGCCTGCGCCAGTAAATTCATTCATAAAGAATTCTGCTTATACATTTATCTTTTACTATGATAATAAGTAGTAATTTATACACTTGAAGACGCTATACCATTCACATTATTTATTTATCTATAGTTGAGATTGAAGCAAGGATATCGTTAAGAAATATTTCTCATAAATTATGACAGAGTTAATATTAGGAAATACCTATAACTCTGTGTTAATGCATGTGGAATAGCCAACTGAATTACATCAAGTAACTTTTGGTTGTTTGAAATTATATTTTATTATTTACAAGTTCAACGCCAGCGGATCCGCCCGCGTTCTTGTGTGACTCTGCATTAATAGAGCGTACAGACACCGGGAAATTACTTTGCTTAATACTATGTATAGATATAGAATGTTTTTTCACAAAATAATAATTTTAACCTTTGCATCTGGTCCTCTTTATGTGCAGGATTAGCAAGGTTATTTATTGTTACTGGTTTTCTATTCACATTGTGACAATACGGTCACTAAATGGCAGTTTCAGCACTATTATCTATATATCTGCATAATTAGATTAACTGGCTCTATATAAACTATGACTATATTACAAAATATAGGTAACAGTTATTCACCTACCAATTAACTCAATATTTCGATGCAATTTTAAGAACATTTTACGTATCTAATTAAGTATTTAATGAGTTATAATTTATATACCCACATTCAATATTCAATGAATGTACTTTTTAACATTTTCATATGACGAAATCGTATAAAAAGGTTACAATAAATCAAGTGTTTTACGTTTCAACTCAGATAATCATTAAACAGATGTATTGTTAATATAAAAAGTAGTAAGAAAATTATGTTTTTCACCCGGAGAGCAGAGTATTTCTGTGACGTTTATTACAAAATTAGGTTCTGGAAATTATTACAATATTTTCCCGGCTTATCCTCAAAGACATCGATTATATTAGCTTTGAAGAAAAAACCATTTCATTATACATAATAAGCGATGTTTCATAATTAGTTCTAATCATGTTTTTCTCTCAAGAGATTTCTTAACGTCATCGTTATGAAGAAAAAAATAAAAATTATTAGCAAGCAGTATCGCCGTCTGAATAATACAAGTGTAAAAATATGTTTTTTCCTGCTATGAAATTCTTTATTACATTATTAGTTTAAATAAAATTAAAAATGAAATCTGTTAAACAATTTAGATTTCAATGATAGTGAGATACTGGTATACAATTTTTGATTGACAAGCATTCATAGCTAAGAATGGTCTCGAGTACAATGCGAGAATATTACTTCACAACGCTAGAACAAATACTCATTTTCTTATACACATAGCACTTGTGAATGGCAAATTGACAAAACAACATAATTGTTAATTTTCAGATTAGGTAATGAAAAATATAAAAGTAAAGTGGTTTGGAAATCTTTGCATCCATCCTGGTTGGAGCAGTTCGATCTTCATCTCTATGATGATCAGGAACAAATCCTAGAAGTAACAGTTTGGGATAAGGATAAACAAACAAAGGATGATTTCATTGGAAGGTAAATTTGGAGGGAAGAAGCATTGTTTTTCATTTAATTGTCAGTGTTTCTGTAGATCGCAAAGATTAATTTTATTTAGTTTTTTATTTAGTAGAAATTTTATTATAGTTGGGAAAGAATTGATTAATGAAGAACCCAGACAGTACATGTTTGGGTCCCATTTATAATCCACACAAATAATGACGAAAATAGAAAAATCATAGAACTCCTCTTTTAAATTTGATTGAGAACTATCTTTACAAATTATATATTGATTGAGCAATTGGTATATACCTTCAATAAAGATTTAAGGAAATATATTTTACTTTATTCTTTCTATTGAAAAATTGTAGCTGAAGTTATTTAACTTACTTATGATTAACTGTTTTACTAGGTGTGCAATAGATTTATCGAAATTAGAAAGGGAGAAAACTCACAATATCTGGCAAGACTTAGAAGATGGCAACGGGCAAATATTCCTTTTATTAACAATCAGTGGGACTACACAGTCGGAGACGATCACTGATCTTGGTAGTTATAGGGAAAACCCAAGAGATAGAGAAATTGTTGAAAGACGATATGTAAGTAAATTGCCTCGTTGATTACATAATTTGGTTTATTTTCTTATTTACAATATAGAATAACAAAGTTGTACAGCGTAAGAAGAGTTGTTTTTGCAATTAACACTTATGGTTATGATGTGGATATACCTGGATCATTATTTATAAAAGTAATCTTGGATAAGCTCCATAGAGCTTTTGTCTCATCGCAGCTAATATCTATAGTAAATTGTCTATAATTAACGATAGGTCAATTAGTATTTCATCGTTTTGTTTTGAATTTTATACTTGCAGTGAAAACAATAAAAGATGAAATATCTGACACCAGGCAAAGTTTCTCTGGAATAACCCATGTATATCCCAGGTATATTATTATGATGACATGCGTTTATAACTAATATAGCCCCATTTTCTCATCACTACATATAAATCGCGAAGTCTTCTAAATTAGGTCAACAAAACTAGTTTTATTGTTTTTCTCGCATTTGTCTTATTTCATACATATACTTAACATATACATACACATGTATTCAGGCTTGGTACCGTCTCAACGAGAACTCCAGTGGCGTTGGTTGGCTGTGTGTCAAAGTGTTCGGTGCCAAAGGTCTGGCGGCGGCAGATCTCGGCGGCAAATCTGATCCTTTCTGCGTTTTGGAACTGGGCAATGCGAGGTTGCAAACACACACAGAGTACAAAACACTTTGTCCTAACTGGATGAAGATATTTACATTGTGAGTACTACCAATATTTAAGTAAATAAAGGGGGGGGGGGTAAAAATAAATTGGCTAATGATATAAATCATATCGCTTATCATATCGTATGATAAGCGATGCGATTTAGTCCTGCAATTAAAATAATTATGCGGTGACTTTTCTAGTCCTAAAGGCTCATGTTTATTTATGGATTAGTTGATCTATATACAGCATGCGGGGACCATAGTGGTTTAGTTATTTTTATCATTGCAATCCGTGTGCGGCGTGCAGGCAATTTCAGTTCTTCACTTTCGTTAGTCGTTCATTGTTTTATCAATCAATGAGATGAGCGCGCAGCGTCACCGGCACTTCGCGTGCCGACCCCATTGACCACTGACCAGTGTAGGTAATTAAGCTATATGCTTAATATAAATCTCTCACATCTCGCATGCAGGCTATCGACGTTTGTGGTTACTGAAGATGATATAATTATGGCATGTGTTAAAGAAATGACTACAAAATGGACCTTTGATATATGATGCGCCGTTTTCCGTACTTCGTGTTTTTGTGTAGAGGGCACTCTAATTAGATTTATTTAAGACACTAAAAAAAGTATTCGAAGATTTGTCACGTCTCGTACGACGAACTACGGTCACTCCTACGGTCGTAGTCAATTATGGACATGCTTAAAGTAGTGAAGCAAGTGTGAAATTTCGATTTGAGCCGATTGCTTTTTGTAATAATAATCTACTAAACGTTATGGATATTTAAATATAACCGTATATGATTAGTATATTAAGACATACTGTTGAGTTAATCTGCTTAAATCTATCGTTTTATCTGAATTGATTTTATAGCACTCTACTTTTTATCGTTCATGTAATTGCCATAGCACACACCGAAGACACAATTTTAAACACATCATTACATTGTAAATATTTTATTTACAGCACAGTCAAAGATATAAGTTCAATATTAGAATTAACTGTATACGATGAAGACCACGATCATAAAGTTGAGTTCTTGGGAAAACTAGCAATACCGCTCCTGAGCATTAGAAACGGTGAGAAGCGCTGGTACGCATTGAAAGACAAGAAGATGAGGGCTCGAGCGAAAGGAAACTACCCGCAAATACAACTCGAGATGACTGTGATATGGAATCCTGTGAGTTTATAATGATTCGGTTTTATTTAAGGTTTACATATTGGTATCTTATCATTATTTTTAAATGTATTTGTTATGATTTAGTTTTTTAATATTAATACTTATTTACGTATAACTGTTACAGCTAAAAGGAGCTATTCGTGTTATAAATCCAAAAGAGCCTAAATATATGCATCAAGAAGCAAAGTTCAAGAGGCAGCTTTTTATAAGGAACGTGATGAGGCTAAAAGCAATAATCATGTGGTTTATAGAAGTCGGGAAAATTTTACAGTGCGTATTATTTCATTCAATTGACTTTCTTGAGCCCTAAACACTTAAGAAAGAAAGCGTGTATGCCTTTCATCAAAGAACTTTTTATTTATATCAAATTATTGTGCTACATCTTAGAAATTGTGGTCTTGTGCATTGATATCTGACTATGCTTATTAACTGTCTTTTATTTTCTTGTGATCATCATCTATATCCTTATACTTTAATAATTCTGTCTGTCACGCTTTTATGATAAAACCGTTTGGCCAATTGTCGATTGGCTCTTTTTGGGCCAATTTGGAATTATTTTTGGTAATCTGAAGAACTTCAACCATAATTATCAAAAACCGAGTTAATTTCTGTATATGTTCTGTAATATATTTCAGAGACTGTTTTGAGTGGGAATCGAGGGTGTTATCATTTTTTGGACTCCTTCTTTGGTTGGCTTTCTGCTACTATTATCAAATGTGGATGTTACCGTTTCTTATTCTCATCTTCTTCGGAAGGAACTGGCTAATTTATAGGTTAACTGGTAAGTTATACTACATTTAGTTTTGATTTTATTTTTGGTTAATTAGGTAGCAATAATGTAGACGTTTTTATATTTTTTATTTTATAGATATATATGGCAAATTAAAAAAAGTATCATTTAAAAATAAGTTAAAATCTGAAAATAAATTTAAATTTCAAAATTTACCACGCAAACATCATTTCTGTCATGACCTCACGGCCCTCTGAAACTAATATCATTCTATGCATATAGCATTCTATGTATGAATGCTCTAAGATATGAGTAAAAGCTGTGTGACGTCACGTGCTGTTTGCGGTCACGTAACAACGAGTATAAAATATTTGTTATTTCATAATTAATTAAAGCAATAAAAGTTTAATCAGTAATAGTATATAAAACACTATCAAAACAAAAATATGTATTTATTTTAGTTTATTGTCTACACCCGTATTCGTGACTCAAAACATACTTTCTCTCTCACTGTTTTTATTTTTACTTTTAGTACCCTTAAAGAATTTTTCCCGACAGTGCAAAAATGGCACTTGGACATTACTTTCTGTATTTCGCCGTAAGTTAACGGTGTTGTAATATATATATTGTTACATCTGTACAGTTACTTGCACTGGTCTTCCGCTTTGTATTATCTATTTACGTATTTTTCTACCGTAAATACTAATCATTAATTATTTAAAGCATGAAATTAATTAATTTGTATGCAGTGTGATGTTATATATAACATTTCTTTTAAATTTGCGAGCCTTTATATAATGAAACAAATTAATTATGTCAATGTCACTCTTTTTATATGATCCGTGTAAATGATACGACCGCTTGTCTTTAGTACACTGACATTTTTAATAATTTCATTTTATATCTATTTTAATACATACAAATATATAGTATTCCAAAAAGTATAGTTATATAAAATCAAAGAGTATAATAAACCTGGTATCAAAAGCTATTTACACAGTTAGTCGTGAACATGGCCCCCGGCGGTGTAGGCACCTAGTAATTTGGGAAACGACCAACTGTGCAAGTTTTCGGACTGGACGACGCAGAACCCCCCCTTTAGTGGACACATCTACTACTCGAACGATATTGTCCTTGCCAGCATACCTAGCTACTATACGTCCACGTGGCCAGCAACGTCTTGGTAAGGTCCTATCTACAACGCATACCAAATCTCCTATCTTAAGTTTCTGATATTTCTCTGATAAAGAGCGCCGTGGTACTAATGTTGGCAAGTATTCACGCACAAAGCGTTGCCAAAAATTGTCGGCCAGATGTTGTGCCTTTCTCCATTGCGCTCGGGTGGAAAGATCGGTATCGTCGAAACGTCGTGTCTGAAGGTCATTGGAAGTAGAGTCGATTAAAAACGAAAATGGCGTGAGAGCTTCTTCCGCATCACGGTCAACGGAGAAATGAGTTAAAGGTCTTGAGTTGACAACTACCTCCACTTCCATTAGTAGAGTTTGGTAGACCTCTTCTCGTGGTGACCTGGTGACCTCCCATGAATGGAGCCGATGGTGGAATAAATTTCCATCTGATCTGTTTGTTGGATGCAAACTCATAAACGTCGTTAATGATTTTGGAGGCCCCAACAAATGCTGTCCCATTATCTGAATATATACATGTCGGACATCCCCGACGGGCAATAAAACGGCGCAGGCTCATAATAGTGGAGTCCGAAGAAAGGCTTTCCACTACCTCGAGGTGGACAGCTCTAATAATTAGACAAGTATAGAGAGCCACTCATCTTTTCACATGTCTTCGGCCGATGGTAACACTGAATGGGCCAAAATAATCCAAACCAACATAGGTAAAATGACGCTCATTGTAAGCCATCCGTACGTCAGGTAAGTCTCCAACTTGAGGTGTAATAGGCTTCGCTTTCTGGATTCTACAGACTTGACATCTAGTTGTAACGTGTTTGACAGCGGTTCTTAAGCCAATGATGTAAAATCTCTGGCGCAATTCATTTACCACGAGTTCATTATTGGCGTGTGCGTATTTCATGTGGTATGAGTGAATTAACATCCTAGTGATGTGATGTTTTCCGTCAAGGACAATGGGGTGGGACTCTACTATATTTGAGGTGGAGATGCGACCGGATATACGGAGAAGACCATCTTTATCCAAAAGCAAGGACAATTTCTTTAGCCTACTACTACAATTGAAAACGGAGTGTCCTGCGTGAATACAATTTATTTCGTCTGCATAGCTGAATGAATCACGCTGAATAGATTTCAATAAATGGAGCTCCGCTGATTAGGTCATCAACAGACAGTAAAAGAAAATTACGGTTGCAACGGAGTGTCGTATCGAAAGATTTCGAATTTTGAGGTAAGAGAGACCGAAACATTTTAGCTGACTGATGTGCTTGAGCTGCAGCTCTGAGCAGACGTACCCATCTGCTGAACCGACGATAGTCAGCTACCAATGGTGAAGTGGTAGACGGTTCCGCTGATGTACTAACTACACATCCAACCACTTCGGAAACAGTTTTGTATTCCTCCGCGGTCGGCGGTTTCTGAGTGGTTGGTTCACTGGGCCAGGAATCTTCCGGGAGAAGAAGAAAAGATGGTCCGATGGATGAAACCAACGAGAACGAATAGAAAATTCTCTGGTTTCACGAGTAGCGTCATCTGCTACGTTTAGGCCCGTAGGAACGTACCTCCAGTTCTGTATATCGGTTAAATCGGAGATCTCAGCCACGCGAAAAGAAACAAAGGGCTTAAACATGCAGGCGTCGCTACGTAACCATTTAAGCACCGTTACCGAATCGGACCACAGAATATATTTGGAAGGCTTTCTCTTATGAGCCTCCAGAATATAAGAACCAAAGCGCAATTAAAGCCGCTTGAAGTTCCATTCTTGGAATGGTTGCTGGTTTCAGGGGCGCCAGTCTAGCTTTACCGCCTATTAAAGCTAGTTTAATTGAACCGTCAGCCAAAGTAAAGCGCCAGTAGGCGACACAAGCATACGCTAATCCACTTGCGTCAGAAAAAATATGAAGTTGACTTTCTACAATAGGAAATCCTTCTGAATAGCATCTAAGAATGACAGCTCCAGACAGAGCATTAAGCTCCTGAAACCAAAACTTCCATTGTTGAATAAGAACTTCAGGCAACACATGGTCCCAATCTATACCTAGTTTCCAAGATTTTTAGAAAAGAATCCGACCCTTAATTACTATGGGGGTTACAAGGCCCAATGGATCATAGATTGACATAAGTAAAGACAATACGGCCCGCTTAGTGTAGATTGCAGGTAGGCTGGGTATAGCTTTCAGGTAACACAAAGAATCATTAGTAACGAGCCAACTCAACTCCAGGACGCGTATTTATGAAGGAGACGACGGGCCTAACCCTACCTCAGATGCATCAACAGCGCGGAGGTCAGAGGGAATTAGAGACAAAGCGTCTTTATTATTTGATACCCAGGAACGCATTTCAAAACCAGCTGCTTGATGAACAGTTACGATGTCAAATTCAAGGCGCGCTGCGGCCTCCACTTCATCCATGCTTTCAAGGTAGTCGTCCATATAGTGATCTTCTATGATGGATTTAGCCGCTTCTGTATAAGCGTGTTGGAAGTTTAACACGTTTTTATTTTTTAAATAAAGAGCCGTACATGGGCTAGAAGTAGCTCCAAAAATCATAGAGGACATTCGATACTCTTGTAGAAGCTTTGAAGGGTCGTTCCTCCACAAAAATCGCTGCGCGTCACGATCCTGAGGTCGAATCTTGACCTGAGGGAACATTTCCCTTATGTCCGCCGTAAGGGCAACACAGCCTTCCCGAAATCTCATCACTATGGCTAGCAAGGGCTGCAATAAGTCGGGGCCCGATAAGAGCATAGAATTAAGACTTACTCCATTGCACTTTGCCGCTGCATCGTGCACAACGCGTATTTTTTTTTATGTGCATTACGCCAAAATGTGGGATATACCACACTTTACTACCTGTCGGTTGATCACTACAAATCTCCGCGTACCCCACTTCTGACACCAAAACTATGTAAATGATACGACCGCTTGTCTTTAGTACACTGACATTTTTAATAATTTTATTTTATATCTATTTTAATACATACAAATATATAGTATTCCAAAAAGTATAGTTATATAAAATCAAAGAGTATAATAAACCTGTTATCAAAAGCTATTTACATATTAGGGCACAGTTAGTCGTGAACAATTCGATCTATAAATGAAATAAATTATTTTATTCAATAAAGGCATACTAACATTTCCCTTCCTAAAAAGATTGAATTCTATAGTCAATTTTTGTGGAGTTTCTTAACTGCTTGAACTGTGCATTTATTGTCTTTTCACCATTTGATTTGTTGTAAGTTTGACGGAATGTCTCATCGTTCGTTTATTAAAAAGTGTGTATTCATAATTTTTAATATTTTAATGTTGGAAAAATGTACATTGCAGGTGGCAATCCTTTACTATTGCCAGTAAATGATGATGACTTATTAGCAGAAGAAGATGACGACGAAGAAGCAGATAAGGTACTAATATATAAAACTCAGACCAAAACTCTTGATGAAGTACTTACACATATCTTATTTGGTTTACTTTATTTTATGTTCCATCTTTACTACAATAAGAACTTTTTTGAACAGGAGGAAAAGAAATCACTGAAAGAAAGATTACAAGCTATACAAGAAGTAACACAAACGGTCCAAAATGCTATTGGTTACGTAGCATCGTTGGGAGAAGCTGTTAAAAAGTAAACACTATTTTAAACTTTGTGTAAATATATTTAAGATATATAATAGTAGAGATTAATATGTGATTTATTCCTTTCAGTTTGATGAACTTCACTGTGCCATATCTAAGTTATTTAGCAATAATCATGTTATTTGGAGCAATGTTAGTTTTATACGTTATACCATTGAGATATCTTTTAATGGCATGGGGTAAGTTAATTTATGGTATTGGATATCTAAGAATTGTTTATATGTATACTGTTTATAATTTAATGTCTATATTTGTAGGTATTAATAAATTTACAAGAAAAATATTACGTCCACACACCATACCTAACAACGAAGTATTAGACCTTTTATCAAGAGTACCTGACGACGAAACATTGGTGAGATTAATTTATTTATTAATAAGATGAAGGTAGTGCAATTTTGATATTTGTTAGGTAAGAACGACAAGACCGTTAAAGACCAAGGATTTTGGTAAAAAATCCTGATATATCACGTAGGAGGACACACCAAATAGTTATTTCCGGATGACGCATATAAAGTTATGTAATAATTTTATATATGTATAAGATGTAAATAACAAATATACTATGCTGTTAATTATTGGTCGACATGTAAACTATTTGTTTAATGATCGCTTGAAGTAAGAGCCGAAGTCACATCGTGCGATAGCAGCAAATGACCATAGCGCCCCAAAAATTTTATCCCCAGACAGTGTACAGATTACATTATGATTTAATGTCTTAGAGGAAATTGCATTGATAATGATGGCCAATTCTGTTGCAATTACCACGCTCGCAACAAAAAAAAATAACTTGGATATGTTTATTATTATTTCATAGTAATGAAAGAAATAAAATTATATTGTTGTATACTTTATTATGATAGTTAAACTACTATTACCAATTGTTTATTCATTTATCAGTTATTTTCACAATTAAATACTCTGTTAGAACTAGTCTAATTTGTGCAATAGTGTAGGTATGATGACTGGTGGAAAAAAAAAATTCTGTTTAGTCCGCCAGTCAGATAATACAAAAATATTAGATACATACGTATATTTTTTTGCTTCAATTTAAGAAATAACTAAGATATTAGATATTAAAGTTGAACATCATATTTTTTCTTCACTTTTACATGAAATAGCTAAGATATTAGACATTAAAGTTGAGCAGTGGAGCTGGGTGTAGCTCGCTACGTCACAACTAAATTACAATGTTCAAGGTTATGACGTCATGCGATATTTCAACTCAATGTATCGCTGTAATTTATTTTCACTATTAATTTTGTTTCACTATTAATTTAATAATATTTACATTTAAATTGCCTCCTTTGCAAAGCGAGACTAGTATTGTACTACGGTATTTTAAACTATCCCAGATGCTCTTAAGCTATCGCAGAAAAATACTACTGCGCTCGAGGCCAGGGGCTCTATTTTTGAATCATTCGTCTCGCGTCGAGCGCTCGTTTTCTACTGATTTTCGTTCGACTTAACAAATTCGCCATTTCTAAATCGCTCGACTGCAACGAGTGGTATGAACCACTCGTCGCTTAGCGAACGTTGTATGCGAGTGATAGAAGAAAACGAGCGCTCGACGCGAGACGAATGATTCAAAAATAGAGCCCATAGTCGCTATAGTCAATTGCACATCAGACTATACAAATCTGTCAAATTTCTCCACTCGATTTAAAACCTTAATATATGGAAAGTAGAAGTCATAATCCATTACAGATATTTGACATACTGTGGTGAACTTACGTGACTGTAGTAATTATACTCGTAATTCTACTCTTTTTTCTAACAGAAATGTTTTTCTTTTTTTGTCCGCAGTTGGACTGCAGAGAAATAAAACCGCAACCACCTAATGAACACCGACGTGACGCAAGAAAGAAACATAAGGCTGCATAACAAATCCCTTCATCGGTCCGACAGAGGATCAAACAATACTTCTACGAGTTATTCAACAGCAGGGAATCTGAAAAGGAATAACTATTTTTAAAGAAATTGAAATACCTAGACAATTGTTATACTAAAATGACAACGTAGATCCTTTAAATAAATGTCAATCCATCCCCAATTTCGTAGTGATATATTAGAAAGATCTCTGATTGGTCAAAACGGATTACTTGTTTGACATAATAAACTGAGATTTATGTTTTTAATTGTTGAAGTATAATTTTTAAAAACTTTAATTTTGTTACTTAATTCCAGTTGTAATTAAGTGCCTATCTAAAAACATATTTGGTTAACAATTTGTATTGCTAAAGGCCAGTCCACACTGGAGGTTATATTGTAATTTAAACCGTCATTTGCGCAAACGTCCATTAAAACTGTCATTAGTTTAAAACGATATTACTGATATAAATATGACATTCATTAGAGCTTAAAGGCGTTATTAAACCTTAATGATCGTTTGTGCAACTGGCCAAAAATGATAGTTTTTTTCTATGAACGAAATAATGACAGTTATTCATTTACGTTAATTAAATATGGTTACATTTAAAAATAAAGATAAAGTCAAGTTTTAATACCAAAAAAATAAAATATGAATAAAGTATTGTTTTCTTAGAAAATTTTGATAAAAGAAATTTTAATTATTTACGTCGTCTATTCGTCAAGTTAATGCCCGTTATCAGTTATGCAGGTCAAATTTTGCTGTTTAAATGGTTAAATATCGATAGCAAAATCTTTTTGAACTAATAATAAGTTCGATAGTTATATGTTAACAGTGATCGTGTTGCATTTAAGTCCCAATGTTAAAATACCATACATTGTTATATAAAATTTAGATAGGATTTTTAAGACCATTTTGTAAAAATGTTACATTTAATAGTGGCGTTTTAATTAATTTATTGAATGTTTACTTTTGATAAGTCAAATCCATTCCTTCACAACATTAACTTAAAACGCAATAGTATAAGACTGAGACCAATCTCATAAATTAGTTATGATAGATATAAAATGTTTACAGTTTGAATCATATTTAATCATAATGTTATAACGTTTAATTAACTCAGAATTGTCGTTCAATTACCTTATAGTGCACGTATTCATTCCAAGTACAATATTTACCTAGTTTTAAGTTTTTTATAATATCTGAAATAGTTTACTTCCTTCCACGACAATGTAGGAAATTAACCCGCAAAAACTATAGCGTGTAGAAAGCTCACTGCTTTTTAAAGCCCAAGCGAGCGAGTTGGACTCGCGCGAAGTGGATTCCGTACAATATTCTGTTTTTTTAGCAAATAGGCCATATAAAACGATGGGCCTTCTTAGGCGACATTATTAGTCTGTTTTCACTTCGCTATATAAAAAATATTGCATTTCATAGTTTCTAGTCACTTGATTTTTTAAACTATAAGTTCCTTTAACTCTAAGTAAATAAGCAATCATTCATATTATATGCACTGCTTAGGGAGTTTTACATAGCACAAATGCACATTACGAATTATGAAAAAATTATTATAAATAAAAATGTTATTGTAAATAACCGCCGCATAAATTGTGATATATAGTTATTCATAAATTGTATTTTAAATGACTTAGTCTATAAAAAATAGTTTTTAAATTATTTTGATATTAGGTTAAATAATTGTTCTTTAATAACAAACTTCCTCTAATCTAGAATCTAAGATTAAAAAAAAAATTAAATACTATTTTTTAATTCACTTCAATAACTTTTAACTGCTCACTTTTGTCATCTGTCATTTTAGATAAACGAGAAAATATTTGATTTACAGAAAGTACATAATGTCTTCCTATTAATATTTTAAATCCATATTTATAACCATGTATTTACCTCCATAATCTCAGAATATAACTACTTATTTTAAATAAAAACGCTTTGAAATCGAACTTAGACAAATTGAATCGATTCGTAATCGTAATAATAACTTTGTACTAGCAATAATCTATTATGTTTCTAGGCAGTGTTACTAAAAAAGCATAACTATCAATCATTTGCTTAAAAGAAATATTATATTACCGTTTAATATTTAACATATCTCACACAGAATAGACTTCTAATATTTTCATTTAATGAAGAAAGCTTAATGTTTTTAAATGCTTTGCGTAAAGGTACTTAAAATAAATTTAGAATCAAAATCGTTTAAGTATTCGGTGTAGGCTATTACAACTGTGAAAGTCGAAACGTAAATTTATGGCGGGAGACCTTGTATCGAGAAGAATTATCATTGTTTCATTATTTTTTTTATAGTTGCGTTTTTACCAGTCTGGCTATGAAAATAGCGCGCTTTCTTTAGCAGCGCAGAATACAGACGGAGTTTTACTGCGTTAAATTGTGTTTGATATGAATGTGAGAAATCCGTGTTGGTGACGTTCTTCTTAATCTCATCTTATACTCCAAATTGATACTGTAATAAGCCGGACAGACTCACGCCGGGAAGCCCCGAGAACATCCGAGACTCGTGAATGTGACATGTTTCTCGCCTTCTCATTCTCATATATTTCTTCTCGCCAAGAAGGCTCGGCGAGTCTTCTCGGCGTGAGTTTGTACTTATAAGTAATATGAATAAAAAATAACGAAAAATATCTAATATCAGCACTCTTAAGTAATATGTTTATTCTTCTTCTATCATAATTATTTCATATTGACGTGAATATTTTACACATACATGGAAAACTGTGTGGTTATATCTCTTCCAATCCAACGCAGTTTTAGATAGACGTAATTTTATGAATTATAATGAAGCACAAAAGTGATGAAATGTTAAACGCTTTCATATTTTAAAGTATTAAAAAGATGTGATTTTACATATATTATGACTTATTATTGGTTCCCACCACGTCCCTACAATAACTAAGCGTACACGTTTGTACGTCAGACTACCATAATATGCTCAGTTCATTTTAAATTCTACCCTCAAAATATTAAGGTTTATAAACAAGTGGAGTTTGACAGATTTTCATAAGCTGATGTGCTGTTGAGTGTATACGTTTTTAGAGAGCATCGAAATTGACAATTATTTTATTAAGATATAATCACAGATATTAAAGTTTATTACAACTACCCGACCTACAAATGCGCAGCACGTAAGTTGAACTAAAATGGCGACTGTATGAGTTTATATAGGTGGTGTTTGAAAAAATATTAAGTGTATTATTGTACCTAAGTCCTCTTCATTGTCTTCCTCATACGCCCTTGTTCTGACAAGAGCAGTTGTGGTCAGGTATAATGTATGGAGGCGAGTAGCACTAGAACTCTTCACTTGTCCCGTACTGAGGCTTGGTGTTTGTTATCATTACAGACGCGTTGGTAAAGGCTTTTATTTGGTCGATCCAGCGCAACAGAGAACTTCCTCGAGACATGGCGTCCTCATGTCCTACCTTAAATAAAATGTGAATGGAGTGGCAAGGCAAAGGCAATGCGTGAGTTGCTGTATGTGTATGGCGGTGTTACTATAATTAACGTTATTTTAAAATGGAATTATTCGTTTTCCTTTTTATGACAGGACACTGTAGCTATGATTACACAGCGTTACTTGCGGTGAAAAATGTACCTTTTGGTTAACTCATGAATACCAAAAAAACATTATAACATTTAAAACATCTACGTTTTAGTGAAAACAAAAGACCAGTGACCAGGCTGAATGAGTTATGATACCTCTGTCTTAAATGAATTACAACTACTAATTCAAGTTAGGGTTGTACAAGTTAGGAAAAAAATTTATCGATTTAACTCGAGTAAAAACAACAAATGAAACTTTAAATAATCCATTAAATATAATAAACGTTACAAATCACATTTACGTATATATAAATTGATCTAGAGATTTTACCTGTCGAGGAACACAGAGGCAATTAAAATAATCTTAGTAGGTTCGTGTGTGACCGAGGTCGAGGCGTCGATACACTGGTTCCCAACCAAGCGTTCCGACCAAGGTGTTGGTGTTGTACTGGAGAAATTCGAAAAAACTCAAAATATTTTACATGTGTTTATTTACTTTACAATATATGGAGATGTAAAGTCGTTCGATTTTATTTTTAATTTAATTTCGACATAACTACACGTAAAAGAAAGATAAATGAAAGGTAGCATTTAGAGCGTTTTACTACGAAAATGTTCTTCATTAAGAGTTTTATAATTTTGAAATAATATTTAAAAAATGGGAAGAATATTATAACAATGAAAATTTAACTAAAAAAATGTTTTCTGACACTACAGCCCCAAACGTGATTAATCATCCGTCTCATTTCAAAAATACTTATGCTAGAACAGAACTAGCACAAGCCGTCATTTAGTCTTCTAATTAAAGAGTGGGGTATGGCACGCTAAAATCGTAGGTATGCCCTGTTTAAGTATCTACTTTTAGGTCAATGGCTCTAAGCAATGTCGGAGGCGTTGAAGGTCATGTCGGAGTTAGCCAAACAGCCGTCCACACGGTAGGCTGATCATGATGATGATGGTCAGTGGTTGAAGCTCCGATTACCTACCGTGTGTACGGTACTTAAGGATTTTTTATAGTATTTATGGCGTTGTTAGAATTATAAATTGGCACTATTTGATAAATAAAATTACCTACAACTTTATATCGTTGTTAATACCTATTATTCGGTCTATTTCCAATGACACTTATATAAGAACAGAACATATGTTACGCGTCTTGCGTAATTTAAATATGCTTAAACTCACAATAATCACTGGAGTTAACGTGTATCCGACTCGAGTCAACCCATGATAATACAATTCATAATTCGAGTTGACACATCACTAATTCATTTTGTCATTGTCTTGTCAAAACCCAAACGAGTCGTGGCCGCAGGTGATCTGCCAAGGTACAATTACAATTTCAAAAAAATAGTCTGAACCAATTGAAACAATGAGTTCCAAATTGCAAGAGTACAAAGACACTTTAGAGCGTAACCTCGTCGACAAGAGTAAGCCGTGGACCAAATATTTCGACAAAGCTGAGCAAAAAACCGGCGTCAACAGGGTATACCTTTTCGTGGGTGAGTATCGAGCTTGCTTTTTTCACGTTTATTTATATCCTTAGCCAGTCGATTTGACGTTTGTTCTTTTGCAGGTTTGGTCGCGTTCACCGGTTTATATTTAGTGTTTGGTTTCGGAGCCGAATTGATATGCAACTCTATCGGCTTTGTATACCCCGCGTACATGTCGATGAAGGCTTTGGAGTCGCCGCAAAAGGATGACGACACTAAATGGTTGACTTACTGGGTGGTGTACGCATGCTTTTCAATTGTAGAGTACTTTTCCGACTTTATCGTGGGTTGGTTCCCGCTCTACTGGTTAATAAAGGTAAGAAACTAGTTCCATATGGTTCAACCAGTTTTGTAGTATCATACAATCAAAGTCTTTCTATGTAAAGATGAGCCAAAAGTTACTAACATTCAAAGTATGAAACTTTTTCAAATTGATTGGTAATGAACAATTCAGATGTAATATTTTTGGTTACATTTATAATTGTCAAAATATTAAGGAAAATGTGATTTCCTGTCTTGATAATAATAATTATTTTCACCATATTAGCTGGCCTGTATAACATATAACCTTTAATTCGTTTGATAATGAAACGTCATGGAAAGTCTTGTATTAATAAAATTAAATGATTATCTAATGATTCTTGATATTTTAAAGCAATACTAGCATTATTGATCAGCTCATATTACAATACATTTTTTTAATAATCAACACAAATCAAATAGTACTGCCATTCAGGAAATATTATTAACAATCTATGATATTCATCTGGGATGAATGTATTTGTATAACCAATGTGTTTCTGTTAATGAGTAAGTATTATATGCTTCATATTACAATGGCAAAATCTCATCAAATTGCTTTTGTTACATCTAAACCCTGCTTGTTTCCAGTAGTAAAACCCAAGGTCTTAATATTATATGGTTCAATAAAACTTCTGTCAAAAGGCTTAACTGCTTGAATGTTTTAAAAATCTATTAAAATTCATCTTCATATTCATATTTATAGTGGCAACAAAAACAAGACTGAAATATTAGTTTAATCATTTCAAACTGTATTCCAATTCTGTAAACAATGCAAAAGTAGGAAACTTATTTTATTAATATATATGCATCAACTCACATTGATGAAGTCCTGAACCAATTTTAATCAATGTTTCTGTAAATTGGTTTAACTTAAAAGATATGATAGCTTTTATCTTAATTATTTGTCTCTGATGAGCCATATCAACATGTGGCTGTGTTAGCTAGTATACTATTAAATTATTTTTTTTAGATCATACATGAGACAAAATTTATTATGTTAATGTAAATACCTTTTTAGTTTAGCTAGGCTAAGTGAAGTGAGTTTAAATGACATGTATGACTTGTAATATTTGCATGTCATCCTGACAACAAAATATGCTGGGCATTTAAAATTATTAACAATGTGTAAAACCATATTTCTGCAAATAAAGATTTTATTATTATTATATTATGAGTGGTTTAACAGAAACTTCATAAGTCAAAGCAGTCTTTGATACTAATAATACAAAGAGGAAAGGTTAGGTTGTATATTTGCATTGAATAGGCTCTGAAACTAAGACGTGAGGAAAAGTGATTCTCATTTGTCTGTTTCATTTGTTATCTGAAATATCAACTATGTATCTTAATTTGTCATAGATAAGAGTTAGTTAATTTTAAATATTTATTGGAGCTTATTCAGTCTAGGGTGTTCATAAGCACTTGTGAAAGTCGAAAGTATGCCATCCATTTGTAAATTTATGGTGGCAGAGCTTGTACCTATAAGAACTGGCAAGAAATGGCAATCGCTGCTTTTTTCTCCCTGTTTCATTTCACACAGAGATGTCAAAAATGAAAAATGACTTCATTACACAGTCATATCACATTATTAAAAAAATAACAAATAATTATTAAAATAATCAGTGTCAAACAAGCTCATTAAAATAATAGATTAATATACAATATGCATATCAAAAGAAAAGAAATTAGACAGAGTAAGTAATCTAGACCAAACTCCTCTCAACTAGCGGCACCAGTTCAACCATTGCTTAGTTCAACCATATTTTAGCAAAAGTAATTATTAGACCTGAGACTTCAAAGAGAGCATGACATACTCCAGGTTCCCACTCAAATGCAACATAATCATTTTAACCTAAATTTAATTTAAATTATAAATGGAACATTGTATTGCTTGCAATCCTACATCTTATTATAGTTTATGTATTTTGTGCCCATCTAACGGTTTCTATTGCTTTCTCTACTTTAAAAGTGTGACCAAAAAATAAACAATTTAATTTCTTTATTAATACTGAGTGGCCTGAATATAACAGGACCAAGGCAAAGGATTGCTTATACCGTATATGATATCACATCAATATTTTTTGCATATCCGGTTAATCGTTAAAAGTTTTTCTAATATATAATAAATATAATATGAGTTTTAATTGTATTGCAAAAATATTTAAATTGATTTAAATTACATAATCTACACTGTCATCATCAGGTCTCACAGTTTAGATCATCCAAGGACATGTATAAGTTCTTTAATTTATCCTCTAACAGAAACACTGCTACGTATTTGTCGCGTTATAATAGGTATACCTATACAAATAGGCTGTTGATCATCAGTAGGCCGTCATTAATGTGTTAAAAGATTAAATGTCTAAGATTACCTTGCTCATTGGAATAATATACGTTATGCATTTGTGATAAAATAGACTGCTATGTTGTGTAATCTGTCTGTTCATAGTACAAAGGTATTACTCATCTAGTAACTTCCATTTGGAGGTGACGAGTAGGTATTAATGACGCAATAGTTTAAAAACACTTAGATACTTAATATGATTCGAAAAAAATGTCTATGACTTAGGTAATAAAATTAGATATTGTGATAATAATATGAATGAATATACAACACAAACTACTTAAATAAATACACACTATAATAGGTATGTTTATACATTGATAGCAACAAATGTGTACTTTGTCAGAATTAAATGTCAATCATCATAATTTCTTGTGTAACTAACTAACTTTCCTAGCACTACTGATAGATTCTTATGTTTCAGTGCTTTATTATTACATTATAAAGTTAATAACACAATAGCCTTAGATGAAGTTGCATTTTTATGCGCTTTTTTTTATGATTCTGATATGTATATTTAGTGTTTTAAAACAATTTTACTGAAATAAGTTTAACAATGACATGTCGATATGGAATTATTAATGGTCCTAAAATGTATTTCAACGTGATTTCTAGTTACATATGTAACTACATATTACATTTTTATTTATTTATACTGTTACAAACATACCCTTTAGTAATGTTTTTTTTATTAATTCGATATTGGTAGCAATTCTGTTTGTACGAACTAGACTATATTTAGGTTGAGTCCGGTTTAACTGAATTTTAATCTGTGATAAAATTAATATACCTAGTAAACCTATTATTTTTATGCTATAAAAAGTATTTTTTTAATATTCTAAACACATTTTGTCCCTGGCGCTCTGAGATTAGACTTGAACCCATGACCTTTCGCAATCCGAACGACTGCTCTAACCAATGAGCTACCCAGGACCTAACAGGTCTGATAAATTTTTCAAGCACTTATGCTATTACTTCGCTGAAAGAATTTTTTTTACAAATATTTAAACATTCGATAAAGATTTCTCTTATTATTATACTTGATCAATTTACAATTCACAACGGTATACTGAAAAATTCTTAATGAAAATTATTATTACATTTAAATCTTATTTAGGGAGTGTTACAACAGAATCGGCAGCTTTTGTTTTTCGAAACTTCCATGTACATAAATTTAGGAACATCATCACAATTTCCAAGTTGTATCTCGTCACTTTCACAGGCAGACTACACACGATATTTATGAAATGTTTAATAAAGTTAGTTCAAAGCCCTTTTATTCTGTTCCAGTGCGTCTTTGTAATATGGTGCTACCTGCCTACTGACTACAATGGCTCACTCGTGATCTATTACCGCCTCATCCGTCCGTATTATCAGAAACACCATGAGCGTATCGACAACATGGCCAACTCTGGTAAGACAAAGTCACCGCACTAGGTAGTTTCTAAGTATGATCCAGTTGCAAAAACGATCTTTAAGAAATAATTACTACTTTAAGCTTTAACGAATCTGCTAATTTTAAGTTTGTACTCGCTTTAAACTAGTGACAATTTTAACGGACGTTTATGCAACTAGCCGTAAGAGCTGTAAGTTACTTGATCATCAGTCATTTACCATGCAGTCTTTACTTAAACTATAAGAACACTACCGATAGTTTATATCAGACACTCATCATAATTTACATTTACTTCTCAAATTCGAATGATTATATTTCATTTCAAATATTTTAAAATAGTAGGCAAAACGAGGACTTTCTCTCTTTGTGATGAACGTGAAGCAAGCCGTTAATGAATTTATTGGAAACAAAATGGATGCTGAAATATATTAGTTGTGAATCTTAAAAAATTAGGTCATAACGTAAATTTATAAGTTATTTTCGATTCATAAGTACTTTTAATAGCACCAAATTGACACGCAACCTTAACTAAAATAGATAGCATTTCTTTTAACCAAATACAAAAGAAATTAGGAAAGGTAAAAAATAAATTCACCTGTAATTTTAATAATAATAATATAATAATAATAATATACTTTATTGCACTCAATATGATACAATGTTTACAGGAGCTTATTATTTAAAAACATTGAGTAAACAAATGGCGGCCTTATTGCTTAACAGCAATTTCTTCCAGGCAACCTATTTATTTAGTTTACTTTCGCCATATTAAATACCCAGTATTATTTTTAGAATTGAAAGACATCGTTAAAACCCTCAATAAACACATGGACAAAACAATGAAAGACTTCAGTAAAACATTGAAGGATCTTTAAATTATATTGAACTCGTATCTCGAATTCTACAACCATTAATTAGAGAGGTATACATAAATACTGTTTTTTTTTGTTTGTTACTGGGCTTGGCTTGCATATATGTTGGGTAAACTAGGGCATCCAGTATCGATACATTGTAACTCCCGGTAATTTTAAATTCGGTTCTGTCACGGTCCCGGAATTCACGGGACATTAGATACTTATTTAAAAATACCATTAAAATGAAATAGGTTTCATAAATACAATTAATGAAGTTGATTGATGTAGATACTACCTATTTATTGTGAGGGTATAAGATCATTGTTTGTTGTTTGTTACGTACATCACCGAATTTACTTTTTTATTTTCATTGTCAATGTTTCATTAATATAAGTTTCATCATTAAAAATGTGCTCGACTAAAAGCATTAGGATTATTTATTTTTTTTTGCTATAAGTTGAAAACAAACATCATTTGAATTTGGATTAATACATTTTAAGTTTCGTGACAGTCTATTGTTTTTAAAAAGTCTCCAAATGAGTAATACTAGGTACGAATCCTTAGAAAACATATTGCAATATTTTATGTTTAAAAAGTGCTTATAGTCTAGAAAACCTTTTGGATTGAACGCTTTTAAAATTAACATTATAACAGACTCTTAATGTCAACGCAAATTGCGATTTACGTTATTTCGTCAGTTTTATTCACAATTAACATTGTTAAAGCGTTTTTGTATGCATCGAAACAAGATCAAAAAAAATTAGTGCACCAACAATACCGTTTGGAAAATTCGCGTCCATGCTCAAAAGCTGCGCTTCGCCACGTGTGCCAGTTCTAACTTACGTATTTCTTAAAAGAAAACTTAGCCATTTAAAATATATTCGTAAAAATCGTAAAAAAAAAATATGGACCAAATACATTGAACTACAATGTAATAACTGAATTCAAGTATCGAAAGTACCGGGACTTGCGATGTTAAAGTGCCGGATAATAACTAACATTATATATTATGGATATTTAGTTACCGCTTGCAATTTGGAGTCTATTATTTCTACGTATAAAAGTGCATGTTTCATGAAACACTTCAGCACATTTTATTGCTTTCTTTTGGTACCACAGCTTTTTTTTTTTAACGCGGTATTTTAAAAATAGATTTAAAGGTAATCAAAAATACTATCACAGTGCTAGTTACATAGATACACTTAAAGATATTTAAAAGGTCCTAGTACATATCTATACAGTACGATTTTATTTATCATTATTTGTCTTTAGTGTCAAATGTGCGCGAGTTGGTGCATGGAGCAAACGACAAGATCAATCAATCTATGAAAAAGTTTTCAGACTGAAATTTTGCTATTGTTGCCAAGATATTTTATGATTTTTTTTTGAAGAGTATGTGTATTTTAATTTATTTTAATAATAGCAACAAAGTATCTAGAAATGAGAATACTTAACACATAAAACTGGCTACTTATTAGATAATTTGTTTGAGTTGATTAAAAAAATACTCTCGTTATTAGCTTACTATAAGTCAAATAGATACCTATCGTAGTATTTTCTAATAAACTTCCATATTCATATTATTTATATATATTTATTTGAAAAACAATGTTTTAGTTGGTCTGAAATAAGGACAATATTTATGCCCTTAATGACAACCTATCATATTACAACATATAACAGAGCAATATATTTTCAGTAACTAGTAGCTGCTATTACTTGTACATTATTTATTAAAAAAAATAGCTTTTGTTTTTAATTTTTATTGATAAGAAAAAGTTCGTGTTGTGAATAACTTAACTGCTTTCAAGCAATCTATACTGTATACATAATTACACATGCAATATATAACATATTTTTTTCTAAAGTCTCTTCAAAACACAAATTTAATGTATTCATTTATTGTAGGTAAAGCTGATTAGAGAACATAAATAAAATATTATATGGTAAGTAAGTAGATACGAATGAATTACTAACGGTAGCTTATTAAAATCAGTTCTATTTAAAAATAAAATGCTAATTTCTTCCATTTCAAATAAATGTTTGGATATACATAATGACGTTACACGATCACTAACTTATTTAGTATTTAATACAAATCTGGCAGAAAATCTGCATTTAACATATTAGCATACAAACTGCTTCGCTATACGATTATCGAAACTAGCTCCTTATATAACTATTATATGCTAACCACTGTATCTTTTCTATATAAATAATAGACGAATATTAAAAACGAACCCTAAAATTAAAAATATGACGCATATGTAACTAAATGCACGAATTATGATTTCGTACTTTAACGATACATTATCACCACAATGTGTTCTAGTTTAATTAAAATTTTAATTAATATTTATTCACAGCTTATCATCCTAATAGCTTATTTGTAGAACTGGTACTATCTTTAGTTATTCTACCATAGTATGGGAACCACATATAAGGAGTACATTGAACTTTATACAGGGTTTTTAGTACAACCTCGTAGGGAAAGATCGTTCAACAACATTTATTCTGTAACTTTTGAAAATTTTGTTACATTTTGCTTTCATACAAATATAAACTTTAATGTAATTTACCGCTTGAATGTAAGTTTTCAGAGTAGTGTCTCTGGAGTAGCTCTGCGCGCATCTAATATAGTAGGTACTTCACACAGTGACGCGAGCGCAGTGTTTCTTTTCGTAAATGAATAAAACATACACTTATAAGTGTCAAGAAAGTACAATATAAAATTGATAAATAAATTTTGTTCTAATAAGTATGTCGATAAATCATAGATAAAATGTAGTTGTTTAGTGTTAAAAAAAAATATGTTTATTTTAAGAAGGAAATTATGTTTTATTTTTTTATAATTATAATTAATAAAGTACATTAGTAACAGAATTATTAAAGTCCACGCATTGGGAATCCAATCTACGACAATCGAATCACTACTCCGAGCTCCAGAATAACAGCACCCTTCGTATCATTCTGGCCATCTATGAATGTAACGGCGACCTTTGCTGAGATCCATTTTGGCCTCGCATTTTTTTTACAATTTCCTTGTACATGTTTATGATTAAGTAATATGTGGTTAATAAATTTCTTTCTAACATAATATGGTTATTCATTATAGTAGCTACAGTCCTACGAGGTTGATGAACTTTAAAAACAATGTATATTTTTGTTACAAGTAATATAAAATATTTATGATTTTTATTGAGCCAAAATCTTTATTACATTTGAAATATGTATCTACTGTAATTGTTATTAAAATATACTTGTTGGTCCTAGGATCATGCATAAAAACGATATTATAATTCATTTTATATGTATCATAATAGCATGGCAAATTGAATGTATGCTTGTGTTTGCGAATTGCACTGACTTGTCAAATAATAGGTAATATGTATTTTCTGCCAGAAATTAGTATCTAATAAAGTTGGTATACTAAAAATAAATATATAATTTAATGGACAAACAGCATGTCAGAGTAATACTTACAAATATGTCAAATTTTTACAATTGATTATGAATTCTATCATCAATGCTTAAGATTAAAATCAAATGGATAAATATGTCAGTGTTGATGTGACTATACACACCATTATCACAACGGATTTTTTTACTTTTAGATAATAATGTCTAATATTTTGATAATCTTTCGAAAAAGTAAAATCATATTATTTACAGAAAATCTATATTATTTTCCATCAAATTAAATTAATTTCGGGTAGTTTTGTTGCAGAAAATAGTAATACATTTAAGGTATGAAATAAATAATAACTGCATTTTTTTATTTTCAGCCTCCCAAATGGTAGCAGACGCCATAAGGAAGAATAATTAGTATTTTACCAGTATTTTATATTTGGGAGCTAAAAGTACAAACTCATCAACAACACCCTTAATATTTGTAGCTTTGCAATGCAATCACTGGCTTTAAAATTATGAAACACAGCGGGCCTAAAGACGTACTTTTTGATATTATATTTGACGAATGTGAAATGTTCTCCTGATTTACTAAATACAGCAAAATATGCAAAATTTAATAAAAAGCGAATATTTTAAACTCATTGTTTAGTAATAATAAATAAAAATAAAAACTATGTACTGAAGTTTTATGCAGACAATCAAGTGACTTAATTTAAATCGAAGTTCTATTGTTTTAAAAGTCAGTTGTTAGTTAATATTTTTGGCAACCCTTATTTAAGGAGATTGCACACTTGTAAATCAGTTTTATTGGTAAAAACCATACTATTGTTTTGTATCGTGTAACTTTTACTTCCTTTTCTTTAGATATTAAATTTTAGTTGAATCTATCTAATCTTGTAGGGATTGGAGACTGTAAATGCATCTACTTTTATTTACTCCCCTATTATTAAGTTCTCTTTCTATAACAATGAATTTCTTACACAATTTTTAATGCATTAATTATTATCTTTGCTCAAGGAATGTTAATAATTGATAATTATTTTTTTTAAGATTGAGTTCACAGTTTCTGTGTTACCCATATAAACAATATTCCTTGCCATTGTAAAAATAGTCTTTGCCCTTGTAAATTTTTTAGTATGGTGTTAGTTAATTTTAATGGACCATATTTTTGTATGTTGTGTAAAACAAGCCTAAATAAAACGGCGTAGTTGAGCGTCGTGTTGTATAATCATGTTTAGATGTTTTCTGCTTGTGGTATACCTTCATGTTACCAACATTACGTGCCTTTTACATTTTAATGCAAGTGACTTCGCGAGCTACTCATTTGATTAAATAGAGAAATAAATAACACAAAGGAACAGCTTTTTTGCAAGAATTATTATATTTAATTTTATATATTTCGGGGTGCTGATTTTTAAAACTGAATTCGACTTTTTTTGACGGCTTTTATTTTTGAGATATAAGGGCACTGTATAAAAATAAAAAAAATCAATTTTAATAAAAAAAAGTAAAACAATGTATATTTATAAAAATATATATCTATTAAGTGATTTTCTTGCTTGACTGGTTCACCTTAGGACTTCGACGTTAAAACAAGCTGCTTGTAAGCTTACAAGCAGCTAAGTAGCTACTTAGCTAAACTTTCATATCAGATATATTTATAGTTCTGACGTTTCGCGGCGTATCAAGAAATATTTTGATTAAAATTAGTTGCCTCCTTTTATTTCATGCCCATCTGGGATAAATATTTTTACTTGTATCTCAAAAATAGCCCCGTTACAAAGAAGTTGCAGTACCTAAATTTGAAATCAGCAACCTCGAATAATAGTAAACAGACATAAAATTCAATGCAATAAAATCGTTTAATTTTATTCCTTTGTGTAGTCGGTCATAAAACTGACATTTTGTATACTTTTTGAAACAAAACCCATAAATTGACGTTTTAATAGAAATATTTAGTTCAGTGAAGTCACTAAAAATGTTTGCTGATGGTATTGTCGTGCAAAGTTTCTCGTCATTTTTCACGTAATAAAAGGAGTTTATTGTAATTGTTTGTTTTTTTTTATCATTACCGCGAAATTGTTTCTATTTCAATCTTGCTGGGCATTGGTTTTACAATGTATTTATAAAATATTCAGTTAGATTTTTATCAAATCAATCTAACTGCAACTTATGAAACTGGTTAATAAAACTCTTGTAGGCCGTAACGGGTTAAATTAAATTAAATTTTGAAGACTCATATTCAAATCAGATCCTATCAAGTAGTATGTCAGTATGTTTGATTTTCTATCTGTGCTTCCTTCGCATATAGACTTGAATTCTCGGATGTCGAGGCGTTGCAGGCGGATTTTACAAGATCTTAGCGTACAGATGAACAGAAGCGACTTTGTTTTATATTGTGTATATGCTATATACAGTGGTGGCCATGTGAGTAAGAACGCTCCCTTGAAAATAGTACATTACTTTAAAAAAAAAATAGCTTGTTACATGTATTATTTTTTTTTATTGTGGTACTCCAAAATCTTTCTACATTGTTGGTACTTTCTTCTATAAATTAGATTTACATATAGAATAGACCACGAATAAAAAAAAGTACCTATAAATTGCGCGAACGTGAAATCTAATCCAAGAGTTACTTCCTACTGGCTGGCCATATAATTAAGAACGCAAACTATTTATTTTTTTATTTAAATTCAAACAGAGGATACTATGGATATTCTGTTTTCTCATAAAATTGGCACCATATGTAGTATATGTATGAGTAGATATGTAGTAGTAGGTAGTGTTAACACAACTGCAACGTAATTTTTCAAAATTATAATGGGAAAAAATAAAAGTTGCGACCAATCTACAAGGGAGATTGTATTAAATCTTTGGGAGAAGAATTGGTCTTATAAAATAATTGCTGACCATCTACAATGTTCGAAAACCATGATTTTCAATGCTGTGAAACATTTTAAAACTTAGCAGTAGTAGGTACTATAAATATGCTGCGCATGCCACGACCGAGAAAAACATCTCTTCGAGACGACAGAAAAATCATTCGTTTGGCGAAATTAAATATTTTCAAAGGATCTAACGAGATACAAAAGGAATATTTAGGCGAAGGAAACCCTTTTGCGATCACGGCACGCACTATTCGAAGGCGTTTAGTAGAATAAAAGTTGTATGGCAGAATAGCAAGAAAGCTACCTATGCTAAAATATTACCAAGGGCGAGTCCGGCTCGTCTTTGCAAAAGCGTATGAAACCTGGACAGTTAAACAGTGTACTTTTTTCTGACGAAACGAAAATAGTATGCTCTGATGGAAGGCGATGCGTACGTCGCCCCTCTAATAAGGCATTTGACCCTAAGTTTACTAAGGTGACTAAAACATGGTGGTGGCAACCTGAAAATTTGGGGTTGCTTCTCTGGTCATGGAATTGGGCCTATTAGGCTTATAAAAGGAAACATGGATCAAGTTTAATACAAAAATATATTGGAAGAAACAATGTCACCCTATGCTGAAGACGTTCTTCCAATTAAAGCATGATAATGAGCCAAAACATATAGCCCGCTCGGTAAAGGAATTTCTTCACTCTCAATCTGTTTCCGTCTTAGACTGGCCAGACCTGATTTAAACACAATAGAACATCTTTAGTTTGAAGTTAAAAAAAGGTAGCAAATCGACTGTGCGGTAATATAAAGAAACTATACGATGTATTCTCAGAAGAATGGAATTCTATTTCTCATTCAAAATTACAAACATTTATAGAGTCAATGCCTCATCGGTGTAAGGCAAATATTAAGAGTCGTGGAGATACGACCAAATATTGATTTGAATTTAAAATATGATTAATTTCTTTTTTAATGTACATTTTTTAATATTAAAACAATACAATTACTCTGTATTTTATTTTAAACATTTTACCAACAGCTTAAGAGTATTGTTTCTAATTATTTGTCCAGCTTCATTATCATATACTATAATACTGTCCACAATAAAATTACTTTTACAAAAAAAAAGTTACTAATTTTATATATCTGTCCTAGTTTAGTCAAAATTATTTAAAAAAATAGGGCAAATTTGATTAAAAACATTCTATAACTACAAATCATTCTTAATTATATGACCACCACTATATTCGACGCTGGAAAGCAATCAAGTAGTAACCCGCAAAACCAAGTGATCTTCAGAGCAGAAAAACTTTTATATTTTTCGATGAATAATTCCTATAAACGTCCATGGTAACAAATAAGGTGTTCCTTAATCAATTTATATGGAAAGAAGATATTTATTTTGAAAAAAAAATATAAAGATTTTCCACTCTAAATATCTATTTTGATTTTACAGGTTACTACGTGTTTGCTTTCCAGCGTATTTGTATTAACTTCCTAGTACCCTAGAGTGGTTATCGCAGGATGTCGAACAAGTACTTATGTTTTGTGAATTCATGCTAAAATGAGCTTCTAAACTGTCGCACTTTTGCTAAATTATCTCTATAAATATTTAATTTAGCGAATTATCGCATTTAATGCCCCAGGCTGGGTAAATAGGGGATTAAATAATGACCCAAAAAGTTTTTTAGATTCCATTCACTATGTAACATGGCTATTTGTACCTATTCCGTAAAGAACTGATGGCTTAAAAATTCATTTCAAAATTAGTGGTTGGCACTGCCATCCTGATAGCTGTACATCAGGTTATCAGTAGATGTCCTGCAATGGCTTTGACCCCTACCCTCAAGGTTTAACATAGAGTGAGGTAACTTAACAGTTTTTTTAGTGTGAAGTGCCGTTGACTGTACTTTGCATTAGTAATCCCTTCACAATTTGATGTAGACCCAGAAGTACCTCTATTATGGGACGATTATGAAAAACAGTGCCAAAGGTGTAATTTCCCGATTTTCCCATGCTATTTTTATTGACCACAAATTGAACTGTTTAAAGGTACTACTAAGTTGTGGTTGCATTATTATAGTGCAATGGGAAACCAACTACATTGCTATTACTTAGAAATTTATTAAACTATCAATAATGCAATGATATAATCTAATCTATTTAAATTATTATTTATAAGTTTGCAGTTTCTTTAGCCTTCTCCTCTTCCATTTGCTTTGCTATATTTTCTTGTGTAGTTTTCCTATTTCTCCAAGCATTCATATATGATCGAGGATGTATTGGGAAGAAACCAGCTAGACCTGTAAAAATAATTTAACTTCGTCATAAATAGTCTTGATAGACAATGCTAAAAATAATAACACATATACTATAAAACCAATCATTGTCAAATTCAGTAGTACAAGACAGATAATTATTTATTGCCCTTTTAATAAGTATGACATAATTCTAGAATTAAATTAACATAGTTTTTTAACAATTTCATTAATATCATAAGTTTTTCATGTTAAGAGTATTTATATAAGATAGTTTTTTACTATAATCTGAGTTTACAATAGAATATAGAGAGCTAAAAGCCTGCATATTTATAATAAAAAAAATCATAAGTACCAAATAATTCAGCGACAGGCGGGCTTACATGAGCACCTTTACCAAGCCAATATTTTATGCGTTCTAAATTAAGTGCAACCAGTTTCTCATTGTGTACATTTGGCATTGGATCATAGGAACCAAGCTGTTCAATTACAGGTTGGCTGTTCAATCTCTTTCTCTGTAAACATGTATAATTTATTTATTTATACTACACTCTGAAAATTCATTTTAACTAATCTAACAACATGCCAGTTTTATTTGTTTCGAAAATAGTTTACTGATATTGTTTGAAAAGCGATTACCCCTTTTATTTTATTTTATTATGAACTTTCAAAATTCTAATCTCTAAAAATATAACCTGCCTGAATGGCACACTATAAATAAACAAGACTTGCAACAAAATTTTAACATCAAATTTGACTTGTCAAATTTCTTTGCCAAAACAACTAAAAGAAAATATTTTACTATGTAAAGATATTTTACAGCACACATATTTGGTTCATTACTTACATGAGTAACAGATATATGAAAGAACGGCCTATTGGTACATCCCTGGCGGATTAAACGTATTGATTTAGCTGCCTTTGCATAAAACTTTCCGGTGCCACTTGCTGGAGGCAACATTTTTGTGAACTTCAATACAAATAAGTAAGTGCTCCACGGTGCGTCCTAAAATAACCTACTAACTTTTGACATTGACGTATGGCCGTTTGACGCATTACAATAAAGTGTCGTTCAGAAATAATAAAAAGCAATAAATAAGGGTAGAATTAGCATTCTTGCTTCACATTATTGTACAGGTGTAACATAGATATGGTCAGCGGGGAAAACTTATTGGGTAAAATTACGAAACTATAAGACATGCGAAGATCTGTTGGAACGATATCATTGATTTTATTATGAAAGAAGAATCTCATTCATACATAAAAAAAAAATAGTTTAGGACGGGAATCGAACCCAGATTACTACCAGAACCGTTTTGAAAAACAAAAATTAATTATTTCTATTTTACTATTGTTACTCTGAAACATGATGTGATGTTTCAGTATGTTGAAGTACTAAGGGTATACATCACTCAGTACCCAGTGCGGAGTTCAAGCGCTGGAACACTTGGTGGCGGCTGATTGCTCTGGACGAGAGCCACTTTTGCGCTGACGGCATCTTATATACCGCTTCCAGGCCACGTCACCCATGAGCTTGACTTCTCGTGCCGGCTGCTGGCCGATGGAGCCCTCCCCCCTCATACTCTCCGACTCAGACACATAATATCTAAGTGTTGAACACTTCGTCACTTCGTCGTTGACCATGGTAAGACATGGCCCGCCGCTGCCGGGCCTAGACATCGAGTATACCCGGTAAACCTTTTTGATACCGCATGGGAAATACATCTTAAGCCTCAAATCAGGGCCTTCCAATGCATAACTTGGATGGCCCTCCTGATAAAACCCACTGCGGTTCACCTCACGCCGATGGATGAGTCAGGTATCATGTAAGTTGGTAAGCCTGGCTGCGGCAGCTGACGAGTGCCAGAACCTGAGACTTCTTCTAGGTCGTATACTTTATTCATTTGTGTCTTAAGAAGAATTACGGGGCGGCAATAAACTTGGATTGAAAACGTTTTCCAACTTAGGCAGAAACTTGATATGAAGGCGGGTGATTTTAAGCGCGCAACTGTCAACCCGCCTGTAAATTTACGGAAGTACGAGTACATTAATATTTTAAGTTATTTATTTTTTTTCTTACAATAATTTAGTTAGTAAGTTAACATTTTTTTGATATATGAATCTTTTATCTACATTTGTTAAATATTTCATATAATTAAAAAAATGTGCGCGTGTCCCGTCAGGTGCCGCGGAAGCCGTTAAAAGGCTCCTTTGTCAGATGAGGTTTTTTTTCTTGCAAAACTAATGTGTTTAAAACGAAGAACATAAACGTTTATATGAATGAGATATTTATATTAAAAAAAAAGATCAAAGGATTTCGCACTTCTCTTAAACTTATCGTCTGAGAACTACAACAGGATTGCAGTGGTTAATCACTAATCTCTTAAATCAGCCGTCTTATTAGACGGTCCAAAGCTGAGTGGCGCTATCCAATTAAATGGCTAGCCCCCCGATTGAATGTTTTACCAGTTGGCTGCAACATAATAATAGTAAGATTGATATAGGCTACTTTTTGCAGCGAAAACATCTCATATCCACTGGTATATACGTTCCATCCCAGTATGCAAGATGTCTCCCATACTAATAGTGAGTTAATTCATTGTATAAATTAGTTATGAGATTTGGTTTCCCTCTTTGTTTACATATGTTGGACTCAAATAGTATTATATTAACGAGCTGTTTTCTGTGAGTTCACGCGCTAAAATTATCACCTGTGTATGATGTAAGAATTTTTAAAATCCGTCTATTATTTTCGGAGCCTATTCAATGCAAACAAACAAACAATAAATCAAATCACTCCCCTTTATAATATAAGCATGGATTAAATTTAAAAAATAATACTACATACCTATATAAATGAATAAAATGATGTTGAATAAAAAAATAAATTAAATTGTACTGCCATAACAACATTACAATGTTATATTAAAAGTTTTAATTTGCGTCCTGCCGACATTGACCTAGACGGAACCAACCGCATTTTCGTGAATGACCATCTTACTATAAGTAATAAGTTGCTTCTATCAAAAGCTAATTATGATTATGTCTAGGTAAAAAAACTCAAAAATATTTGTCAGGAAAAATTCGCAGTCTCCGGTTATTTCTGTAAAAAAAAAGAGAAAGACCTAGTTAAAATTCAGTGATAGTTAAATTTTATTTACACTTAATTATAATAATTATAATAATACTATACCATATGAGTTTGAGAACTGTTAGTGTGGGTGACGTATTATTACGTATCTTGTCGTATTGATGAACCTGTCTTTTGTGCTTTCTACTGTTATTGCTTTGTTGCTGTGTTCTGTTCGATTGACACTATGTTGCGTTTTTTTTTATGCTGCTAGCATTAATGTGATTATTAATGGATCTCTTTATTGTATTCATTATTTTGAATTTGGCTATAGTTTATTGCTAGTAATTTACTACCCAAAAAGTAGGGAGACATGAGATCTCAGGGTTAGGGTTCAACGGGAAGCTCGCAACGTGGATCAGTATATAGATAAGTACAATTCTATATGGCCCTAGTTAACCGTTCGCAATAGCTAGGTCTCGGTCATCCACTGTCCTGGTAGTGCTCCGGTGAGATGTACGGCCGAAGAGGTCCAGTGGTCCGGAAGTTAGGGCCAGAAGATGGGTCCGAAGCCAGCGCTTCAGCACCCAGATGTTAGGTAATCATGAAGCTTCTCAGGGGCGGGAAGGTACCCTAAACGAAATTTAAAAAATTGTCACGGTCATCAGGTTGGCTGCGACATCGCTGGTCTTCAGGCGGTGCGAGGTAAGAAGCAGGAACAGATAGAATAACGCCATGGGTAGTGATCAGTGATGAAGCAGACAAACAGGCAAGATAATTAAGCAAAGAAAAGGTGGTGTGCATTTCTAGTGAATAAAAGAGACAAGTGGGTATTTTTAAATGCCACACCCAAAAGATAATTCTAGATTTTACTAGGTAACAAATAATTTACAAGGTGTTCAGATGGGACTAAAACACGCTAATAAAAAGAAATTACATAAAGATACAACATAAAACAGCTAAACTGATTAGAAATTATGCAACATTTACGCAATACTTCGATAAAATTAATAAAAAAAAAACATAATGACTAAAAAGTTAATTTTACGTTCGCGACTACAGCGGCCGCGAAAGAATATTAAAGGGCTACATGTTGATGTCACGCTGCCTTCGGTTGAAATGTATCACAAGTAGCGCGTTCACGGGTTTTGTACCTTTCATAAAACCTGGATTGCGCCTGCGACGCGGAGAACAATAGCTTCGAGATAGACATGTTGTTAAGCCCGACGGGATTGATAGACATGTTGTCAAGCCCGACGGGATTGACAACATGTCTATCCCGTTTATCTATATAGAAAATTATTGGTTTGTCAATCTTCGGACAACAAATTTTATAGTAAAATAAATATATACGTTTTATAAAATATAAACCGTTACACTAGAACTAACAGCTTAACGTGCATTGTGCCAGTGGTGTGCACAGTGCTCCATATAACAATGTTTTGGTCACCCATCTTGTGAACGGTCCCTACGAATGTTATTTTTCTACCTTTTTTCTCGTTTTTATCATATCTTTTCAATTGCTTTTCACCGTAATAAGGCAGTGCGAAGCATTAGTGTTTTATTCCTTTTATTATCATTGTACTTAATTTTGCGTGATACTTATATTTACTAATGGCTAACTTATTCATTTACTATCAGAATGTGAGAGGGCTTCGGACTTAAACTGATTTCATCATCATCATCATCACCAGCCCTTTTACGTCCCCACTGCAGGGGCTCAGGCCTTCCTTACGGATGGTTAAGGAGGATGGGCCATGACCCTCCACGCTGGCTCCATGCGGATTGGAGGGTATTAACGACTGCAAATGCATCCGGGATCAACAGCTTACGTGCCTTCCGAAGCTCGGAGTAGCTCGAGATAATAATTTTTTGGTCACCCATCCCGTGACCGACCCTTGCGAAAGTTGCTTAACGACTACGATCGCAGGCCACGGCGCTTATCCACTACGCCACCGAGCTACTCTGATTTATTTTCTCATAATTTAAAAATTAATAATTATGAGATTGTTGCTTTAACAGAGACGTGGCTACTGGATAATATTTCAAACAGTGAGCTTTTTGATGATAGATATACAGTGTGGCGCAGTGATCGTGAGTGTGGGTTAACCGGACAACACGGTTTTTTGAAGGGTTTCAACGATTTTTTGACGGGTCACATGGATGCTGGCAATCAGGTTGACACCATCTATACGGATTACAGCAAAGCGTTCGATAGAAATGATCATGTTATCCTGCTAGCTAAACTACAGTCACTTGGTATCCATGGTAGTCTCTTCAGATGGTTTACTTTTTACGTAAGAAATAGATCTCAATCAATTGTGTTAAACGGTTACTCTTCGTTGTGGGTAGACATACTATCTGATGTACCTCAAGGACCTTACTTGGTCCTTTATTGTTTGTCATATTCATCTACAACATAAAATCTTGTTTCCTAAACTCAAGATTTCTTCTGTTTGCCGACGATATGATAGTTTTTAGAGTAGTTGACGGGGACTCTGACACGCTTCTCTTGCAGGAGGATTTGAATAGATTAGAAGATTATTGTCATTTGAACAAACTAGATTTAAATGTTAATAAATGTTTTGTAGTCAATTTTACGCGTAAACGTAATAAATTTGTTTACGATTATATGCTTAAATGTCTAAAACTGGATAATAGACTCAGCGTTAGGAATCTTGGGGTTATTCATGACCACAAGTTGTTATTTGACAAAGATATTGAATACATCGTCGATAAATCTTATAAGGCTTTGGGTTTTTTAATAAAATCTTCCAAACTGTTTAAAAAAATGAAAACGCTTAAAATTCTGTATTGTGCTTACGTTCGAAGTCATCTCGAGTATGCTTCTCAGATTTGGAACCCAGGATATGATTAATATGTTTCAAGCTTGGAAAATATTCAAAGGAAATTTGTGCGTTTTATTTGTTGCTCACGTTTGCATCTCCTTCATCTGTTATTGCGCAGAAAAATCACCGATATTTGTTTTCTACTTAACATTGCTCAAG